AGTAATAGTAGTCGAGCAGTAGTAGTAGTAGTAGTAGTAGTAGTAGTAGTAGTAGCAGTAGGAGTAGTAGTAGTAGTAGTAGTAGTAGTACTACTACTACTACTACTACTACTACTGCTGCTACCGCTGCTGCTGCTTCTGCTACTACTACGATAACTGCTACTGCTACTGCTACTACTACTACTACTGCTGCTACTCACTACTACTACTACTACTACTACTACTACTACTACCGACGACTACTTGTACTACTACTACTACCACTACTACTACTACTACTACTACTACTACTAGTACTACTACTAGTACTACTACTACTACTACTACTACTACTACCACTACTACTAGCCAACCCCCCTACCAACTACACTTCGTCATTGTCATCAACATCATCACCTCCAACATCACAAAGCAACCATTTTCCATCACAAACATCACCAAGAAGCAAACACATGTCATCACCTTTCATCACCAACATCACAAAAAGTACTGTAAATACCGAACAAAAGCTGGGTTACGTGCGACAGTACTGTAAATACCGAGGAAAAGCTTTCCCCCACCCACTTTCGAGTTTTCGCTGCAAGCCGTTCAAGACTCAAAGTTTAAGACGCACAGTCCAGAAGTAGGAGTGGCAACTATATAAGAAAGTACGGCATCACGAAAGTACTGTAAATACCGAGTAAGACGGCTCTTGTAGTGATATTGTTGGTTGTGTTTGCGCAATACTGTCGTCATCCCCCCCCACCCTCCCACCCACCCCCAGAAGCAAGTCCAAAATCAAGAGGCCGAGTTTGCAAACTCGGCAAGTCGACTTTGAGGCTTCTTCTGATGATCGTACATGACGAAAGTGCTGTAAATACCGAGTAAAACGGATGTGCTCTTAAGATGGTTTAGAGCAAACGTAGTTGGTAGGGGGGGGGGCGCCTGCTACGACGACGACGACGACGACGACGACTACTACTACTAGTACTACTACTACTTCATTTCTGCTGCGACTGCTAACGCACTATACCACTACTACCACTACTATCGCCAGTATACCCCTGCTACCCCTGCCGCTTGAGTGCTTTTGGCTTCAGTATTGTTGGAAGTGCACCCCCGGTTCGTCTCGGCATCCTACACAGGTCATAGCACGGCGACTTCGTCGGATCGTGCTGCCTGTCCGAAGGGTCGTGTGATGTGTTTTTGTTTTTCTGGGGCTTTAGTACTTGGCAAAGCGGGTTGAGGTTGTTAGGGTTTAGGAGTTTTATCTGTAGGGTTTAGGGTGTCTCTCAATGACGGGGTGAGCTGGTGAAGGCATCCAGGTGGGGGAGCTCCAGCCTAGTCTCGACCTTTGCTGCTGGTTTGGGCTACCGTCGCAAAACCCCAGAGCGAACAAGACAAAACCCCAGCCAACAGGGCAGGGCAGGCGGCCCGCGCAGCCGAAGACCGTTCTTCCGTCCTCCCTGCAGAGGGGCTTGATGTGGCCCTCCCTTTCGCAGCTTAGACTTTTGGATGTC